TACCTATGTTCCTGTTCTCTGCTGGCTAGGAGTTCCTGGAGCTGTTGTATCTTCCCTTCTTGTTGCTTACACTGAGCCTTCACCAGATCCACCTCTCGTCCCATGGCAGCAGCTTTCATCTGATATTCTTGCGCTTTCTTCACCTATACAGGAAATAAACCGTTATTCCAAATTCTAGTAATTCAAAATGTATCACTGACGCTTTTGAATACATACATGTACTTACACAACCCCGAATTTTCTCAAAATATAGGCATGAGATTTTATGTTATTAAACATGAAACCCTGGTTGAAATCTTGTGCTTGGATACCGCAATGTCGTTGGTTGAGAATGACCATGTCTGGTCGATAAAATTAAAGTGCATATACTTTATTAACAAAAAGAATAAAGTTGTGAACAATGGCTGTAGTAGAACCTGCACATACCAATTGCAGTTGCTTAGTGTCTGGTACACACACCTGACAGGAAAACCTGCAGTTATAAATGTTTGTACTAAAGTAATTTATTTTCTGCCTGTTACAGTATAAGCTAAAATCATTTTGTCATTTTAACACCTGTATTGGCACGACTACTGATGACTACTAGAAGAAGCTGCACTGCACCCTCGATTTTTTTGCTTCAGTGTTATATGCCTTCTTGGATTTTAAAGACTGTATTTACCCTATCACAGCAGAAACAGCTTCAACCCAAGAATGCTGTGCCTCCACTCTCCAGATTTGTGATATTTTGGGTATCTTGTAAAGATAAACATTTCTGCGTGAGTGAAGACGTACGATGTAAATGTAAGGAAGAGCAGTCATGGATTTACTCACTTCATGGGCATGCTGGTTCAATCTCTCTGTCTCCATCTTAGCTGATGTTGTTTCCATGGCCCTTAAGGCTTGTCTCTGCTCCTCCTCAGCCTTCTGGGAAGCAGTCAACTTGCCCCTCAGGTCCTCCAACTTGGCCTGTCACACAATTAATGCTGCTTTAATTTTTTTGCAATTCTGGTGGTCTTCCCTGAAGTAGATAAACAAGATACTAGCCCCAAAGTACCGAGACTAAATTTAGTAATTCACATAAACTTCTTTAACACAGTGGCAAGTCAAAAACCAAATTCGTATGAGTGCTTTACATGTAATTTCCAATCTTCAAGTGATCTGAGTCACATGCATCTGATTATCTGTTCATGACAACATGTAATTCTTTTTGAAAAATTCAAAACTTGACAACTGTGGTTTCTCTGCTCAAGCAAGAAACAAGAGATGTCTTTCTTCTACACAGCAACATCGTTTGATGGGGACTTAATGTGTCAACATACCGTTCTTGTGTGTTTGTCATGATCCGAGCTAGCCATGCAAGGCCAGTTCCTTTTGGAATGTGTAGTCTTTGTACGTATATGTAAACTGGTACGGTGTGTCCTTTGGGTGTTCAAAACGTCATATCCCACATCACAACGGTCAACAATTGTTGTCATACCTCTGTCTTAATTTTGTTGAGGCTGAGGAATTTATCCAAAGAAACGAGCATAGAATTCCAGAAGTTCAGAAGATGATAGGCCTACTGTCAAACTGTATAACTGACACAACAGATGTACATGTACATGATATCGTCTGCAAATGTACTGTTCCTTTATAAAATTATGTAACTGAAGTAGTGCAGGTAATGTACCAGTGAGTAAAAGCTCATGTGTTCTGTAGTCTGGTCAGTCCCTGCATTACCTTTTACGCTTCAAGGACTGGAACAAGTCTATTATACAAGGGCAACCAACCATTGATTGAACTCTTTTGTAACCTATGCACAAAATGTATCATGGGTACGATGTAAAACTGACAAAGTGAGTGACAATGGTCGCTCTCGAACTTCCCGAAGCTCTTGCCTCTCGAGTGTGTGTGTGCATGTGCAATCGGCAGAATGAGATTTCTCAAGGTGAGTGTGATGTGCGGATATACATGTACTGCACTGTCAGGTGATCAATCTGGGTCAATGAACAGACAGTATCCAAGACAAAGGTACGATACTTATAGAGCACATTCTTCAGGCTTCTCATAAAAACATCCAAAACTGTTTTTGTGTTTGACTAAGTACACATACTAAACTACCAAACCTGGCATTCCTCCAACTGCCCTTCCAGTCTTGCTCTGAACTCCTTCTCATTCATTAATGCTTGCTTTAGTCTGGTGCTAGCCTGGATGGCAACGTCTTGTAATTCTCGTTCCTCAGTGGCTATTGTGTTAAGGTAATTAACAAAGAACAAGAGTCACATATCTTGTACAAATTTGACATACACAAAGAGGCAAAAACAACCTTTCCTGAATACCGCAAAACATTCAGGTCTGAGTACTGCAGTTATCACTATGTCTACAGGAGCTGGTTATATGTGCCATTTTGAGGCTTAAAAAAGTCTGAGTATCACCCATTCCGGTGTGCTCCATATGAACATCTGATATGTGTGTGCATGCAAATTTTATGAAAAACGATGATCATCCAATCAGAGCCATTACAAAGTGATTTTTCCATCCAGATAGTGATGGAAGATGTTGATTGGTCAAAAGTCAACAAGCAGACATTGCAGCATCAGTGAACAACTGTCTGTCAATATTTAAGATTCTGACCTCGAGATGTTTTTTGGAAGTTCTAAGCTCTCCGAGAGCATAATTTTCAGACAAGACAATTGCTGATGTCAAAGATAAATGTGACATTTCTTAAGCCTGCCCACTGGTCATGATAAAAGTGTTTGCTGCCAGCTGCATAGACCCTGTAATTCCAAACGGACTACTTATATGCACCATGCTTTCCAGTGGAAGGTACGGCATACAGTAGATGCCTGATGACTGGACAAAATCTACATATAGGGTCAGTGAGAGGTCATCTTGCAGAATTAATCATGAAATCTGCTTACATGTAATAGGTGCTCATCTACATGTGAGCGTCTATCGCAGACTCTGCCAAACCCAGCATCACTTAGAATCTACCCTTGAGACTCAACAAAACTGCTGAGTCATATGATCTGTCTGATTCGAATAATTACAAACAGTTGGAATGGAGGGATGTGTAACACTGCAGCAATCTCCCACAAGTTTCATTGAAAAGGTGTACACAAATATGTAGGAATGGTTGACAGGTAAAAACCATCTACCTCTCCCTGACTCTCCGTGGGTGTATGCACGTGGACATATACCGGTACATGTAGGCATTCATTGTATTGAGGGGACAATTTTTTCGTTAGGCACATTTTGGACCGAGCTGTGGGGACATTTCTGTGTCCCCACAACGTTTTTTGTTCCCACAAAATAGGCAAAATATCGAGTGCATATCACAACTACGGAATGAGAATGTGTGTGTATGTACCGTATATCTCACATTTCAGTGTGTATTAGTTTTGTACACACAAGTGATGTCTGAGAGATTGGTGGAGGTTGAGTATTGTACATGTACCAGTGTACCTTATTTTACCGGCCTTGGTAAATTAACTTAAAGGATTTTTTTATCGAGTACTGTTAATTGAGTACGAGTACTTTGATGCTCGTGTACAATTTTTGGATGTCGAGTTCCAGTACAAGAACTGTAGTGCAAGTACGAGTACTTGGATGTCCGAGTACTCTGAAAATGGTACACGAATAGTACTTGAGTACGAGTACTACAACACTGACATGTACCATGGTAAGACCTGAGAGTACTAGAAAATATAACTTATCAGCAAGAAAGCTTGCAAAAGACAGGTACTTTTCTAATGACAACCAAGAGTTGGTATTTTTCATATTTGACTTCATTTTGATTTTATATCTTGAATTTTTTAGCAAAAATTTGTCCTGCAGCTGGGTCCATTCACTGTGACATGTACATAACCTCTTGCGTGAAGTGTTATTACAATGTACCTTTTGCCTGCAGTTCTTTGATGCAATCAGCTAGTCTGATAGAAGCCTGCTCTGCTTTCCATCTCCTCTCTCTCTCATTGTCTAACTCCTGCATCAAGGCCTGGACAAGGAATTGACACCTACCGGTTCTTTGATAATGCTTGATAACCAGCAACAAGTTCTTAATATCAAAACATATTTAAGCATCTTTGTTCCCCCTCACCAATTCAACTTTTGCTTCAAAGACTAAGTAACAGTAAGACATGACATGGTTTAATTAAATAAGCACAGGTGATGATATCAGAATAAGTGGGTAGTGAGTTACTGGCATTAAGCTCCTAGCCTCTTTTAAAATGCACAAGTTTAACCCCAACTCATAACACTAATACTTCAATTTGTAAATCCCTTTGGCGGTGCATACAGAATCATCAACACAAATAATGACAGTGTAATTCTACAACATGTAAAAGAAGATCTTAGCTTGATTTGTGAAGGGTGTAAAGAAAATCGTATGCAACTGAATATGTCTAAGTGCAAAGTAATGCATATGGCCACACCATAGGATCTCCTATATCCTTATGTCAGTATAGTCCCAAGCCCCACCTCTGCTCTCAGCAAGCCTTCAACAAGAAGACAGTGGTAAACTGTAGCCCGAGACCACTCTCTAGCACAGAGAACAAAGTCTTGTCCTTGGGTATGAACTTTGCCCCCCCCCCAAGTTGAACCAGGTTGAGGACATCATCCAATCAACGGAGCTAGCACTACAACACCTCAGCAAGACCGCAGCAGATGATGTCCGCGTCCAACTTTATCAAGCAAGCCAAGCCACCCAAGACCAACATCTCAAGACAAGAACTCGCTGCAATCAAGAACCTACATCAAGACCAGTCAATCCACATCCTGCCGGCAGACAAAGGTTATGCAACAGTAGTCATGGACAAGGTCGATTATGATAAGAAGGTAACAGACATTCTCTCCACCCCAACCTACCGTTCGCTCCGGACGGACCCCACACCAGCCATTGAGCGTAAGATTACCAGCAAACTATTGGCTCTCCAGCGCTCGCAGGCTATCCCCTCAAGTTGTATAGGCAACTTAGGCCCTCTAGCTCCACTTGCCCCCAGTTCTTTGGCCAACCCAAGATCCACAATCCTGACATTCCCCTCCATCCCACTGTAGCCTCACGAGGAGGCCCCACCTACATTGTACAACACTGCTTAGCACCTCACTAAAATCCTCCAGCCCTTTGTGGGCAACACCCCTTATCATGTGACCAACTCTGACCAATTCATCCAACACATTCAGAATCTCTATCTCCAGCCCAGTGACATCATGGTCAGTTTTGATGTCGTTTCCCTCTTCTTCAGTGTCCCCACAGGTGAGGCCTGCCTCATTGCCAAAGAACATCTCGAAAATGATCCCACTCTGTGTGAGCGCACAGCCCTCTCTCCCGACCAAATCCATGACCTGCTGCTAACTTGCATCTCGTCGTCTAGCTTCAGATGGAGAGACAAGTTCTCCGAGCATTCGACTGGGACCTCCATGGGATCTCCTTTATCCCCGGTACTAGCCGACCAGTTCATGGAGGAATTCGAGTTACAGATCAATTCAACTCAAGTGTTAACTACCAAGTCCACCGCAGGTCTGAGCTTTCAGGGCAGAACTTGACTGGTATCAAATACCGTAGGTGTGTTACTCCACCGACTACCGAACTGCTTACTGAGAATGGGGCTCAAAGAATGCCCACGTGACAGTGCCTGGTCCAGTTGCATGAGTCATCATAAAGTACACAATTATTGGGCGGGCACAATGCAACTTTGGAATGGGTAGACTAGGGGGTGCTACTCCTACAGTATACACTGCATGGACTTTTGCATCCAGCACAAAGAAAAAATACTAAGTTAAATCCACCCCTGCTGCACATGCATCTTACTGTTAGTCACCAATGGGCAAGGTTTCATTAAGAAAATTATTTTATTGATCTTTTAATGACGTGGATTTGCCTTTAATATTGCAGTTCCATGCCCACAACTTTTCTAACTTGTTAATTATTCATTTTGAACCATTTCATCACAATGTATCACTCCCATCAGACGCCCGGAAATGAACGACTTTGACTGTGGGCGGCGGTTACTTGATTGGACCCTTGTGAACCATACGGAATTGCCCTTAGCAACTTGCCAATCCTCTGTTGAGTATTCTCACTTTGAAGACTTCGTTTGCACAAAGTTAATAAACGATCACATTGAAACTCTTTGTATGTGCTCTACAAGACTTAAACTGAATAAAACACCACAGAATCATGAAAAGAAATGCTACTTACATGTAAATATGAAATTTAGACTCAAAGTGGTTGCTAAGATGACAAATTATTCCCATTTTTTTTTTGGGTCTTTTTTCCACTAAACTTCTCAGTTTTAGATATTTTCCCAGAACGGTGAGACACTGCATACGACCACAGCCCACTTTTGAAAACTTCAAGAAAACTTTGAATTCTTTGTTTTGAGCTTTCAGAAACTGCACCAAAACATAAACAAACTACCGCTTCTGAGAAGAGCTTTTCGCAAAAATCACTAGTTCTGACCACTCTGGTACTACATGTATATCTCAATTTCATTTTCACAAAAAGGCCTTATCTTACCATAAAAATATTTGGGGCAAGGATTTTTATTTCCAAAAGATGAAAATGAGACGTAAATTTCATGAAATGAAGCAGTTGCTTGCCCGGCACGAATTCGCATGGCCCTCCTTACTTATGCAAATGACCCTAAAAATGGAACATGCACAGTTAATAATTTCCCTCTGAAACATACGTGTCATTGCTGCTACTGTGCTAGTAAAAATATTCATCATTTTATGCCGTCAAATTTTCAAATACATGTATACTCAGTTAGTTAGACCCCTACAGTGTACCTTTCTCAAACTCTCAGGAGTGCTTCGATGATGTACAAAGTCTATCAACTGCCTTATCCATCCAATGCAATATCCTACATTTTGATTGATTCGGGGTCCCAAGGAATGGGCGGTATCAAAGGGGAAAGTAGTTGGCTCCGTCGGGTTTTCTATAGGCCGACTAAACTGTAAGTTAAAACTTCTGGAATGCGGCTCCAGTTGCAGGGTGGCCTCCTCAAGATGTTTGGCTTTCGTCAGAGCTGTATTAATCTCTGTTGTCACTTTGGAAATCCCGTCAGACATGGATTTATTTTTGCTTGGATTTCTTCAATGGTCGATGACGAAAACTGGATAGCCTCCTCCATCTTATTGTGCTTGGTTTCCAAGGTTTCGATTCCTGTCAGCAGGCTTTCTTGATTGAAAATAAGTGTCTCGCTTTCTGTTTAAATCCGCTGCCAGGGATCGAATATCCCTCCCTCACACTTGTTGTGGTGTCATCGTCTATGTCTGGTGATGCATTCGTTGGGCCGGGTAGGTCACCTGCCTCATGTAGCGCGAGCACGAGATTCGATGTTGAAATTCTCTCTTTTTTCTCATTCCTTAAAGGCATACTTCACATCAAACTTGACTGCATGGATGACAAGAGTAATACTCACAAAAATTGTTGTTGGAAGGGATGAAGGAGATTCTTTGTTGACTGAACTATAGTTGATTTTCCAGAGCACTAATTAGATGTGTCAGCTCATCTTAGCGCCCTCAATGTTGATTCCTGACATGCAAGCTACATGACTCAAAACAGCTGCGGAAAAGACCTGAACTTGTCCCAACTACGACCGGTTGGGTACTGGAATTTTGTCCATCCGGAATGACCAAAGCAACGTTGTTGAACTGACTACTGGTCCCACTAAAGGAGTCATCAAAACAATGGATAAGTAAGTCTAACCCAAGTATGGTATCTTTCCCTCACCTCCATGAAACAGAACAAGATCATTGAGAGGATGCAGTTCACGATTTAGACAGTCAAAAAAACTTTTGGAAATCAGAGTGACTTGATGAGAGCCACTGTCCAGCAGACAATGTGTGTCGAGTCCATCAACCCAACACGGAGGTGTGACTGTATCACCAATTAGTCCCTGAGGAACATCCGTGCCTGTCTCTTACTGAATTTTGGGGTTTACTGGCATCAGGACATCTGGTTCCCCTCCTACAGAGGTCCCATCCCGTTTCCCGACGATCCTCTGAGGATTAACTTGACCAACTTCCTGTTGACTGCATCAAAGTCAGCGGGATTTGGGCATCTTCGACGAATGTGACCCTCCTGGCTAAATGAGAAACAGATATCTACAAGAGTGCCCCTCTTATGGTTTTGGTCAGGGTTCTTGTGAGGTTGCCCCCTCTTTGCCTGGCCTCGAGGGAGACCATGAGTTGGCGTCAGTGGAGCCGACTGCTGCGTGGGCATGGCGTTCTGGTGGAAGAATTGTGCCTGATGATTGGCAACATCAAAGAAATGTGCTTGAGGATTAACTACATGTAGGTGAGAGAGGTGTACTTGCGAAGGGGCTCGGTCAGTGAAAGGTGCCTGAGGATCGGCAGAATGGTGAAGGTGACGAGCCTTCTCTGGTCCTCTAGTTGGGCGGCCACGACTCTCGGACTTCAACCTGGTCTCATCTTCCTGCTTCCTGACCATGGACAACAGGCTCAAGAATGACGGAGGTTGATTGACTTTGTCCCTCAGTTGAAGGCTCACAAGTAGCATCTCATCGAACAGAATACCACGTATGAACTGGGCAAGTTGTACCTTGTCCGACTGTGCGTGGGGGACAACACATCTCCTCAGTGCTTACCTCAGTGCTGTCTGTTGTCTTGTTAGGAATTTTGATGGAGGTTCTCCCTCGGCCTGCTTCAGACTGCAAAACTTGACAAACAGTTCGTCATCAGATTCTGCATCACTGAAGGCGATGTCGAGGGCCTTCAGGTAATCGTGGGATGTACATGTAGCTGCAGGGTTATCTCGACGGAGGTCACTGACGATATTGAGTGAAGGGGGCCGCAAAGCCTCACGAATACGCTTCCTCTTCTCGCCATCATCAAGGTCCCACCACTCATCCATCGTTGTGTAGCCAGTTGGCAAAAGTGAAGAGCAAAAGTTCAGCAGAAGAAATGTAACGCCAAGGAATACTTGCGGATCTAGCAACGTTGATGCTGGTGATTACTGCCACAGATGCCTTGGTATACTTGTGCTGTGTCTGTAAGTCACAATAGCTTGGTGGCTGAGATGCCTGGGAACAGCTCTTCAGGAGGATTCTCCCCTCCAGGCCCTCTTTCAGAACATGCAGTTCATCAGTAACTAAGAAAGAGAGCCAACAATTATGAACATAAGGGGAAGACTTGGATTTTGAGGTCCTCCAGTTCAAAGAAAAATAGTGCAGAGCGCAGACAAAATTCGGCAGGCATGTAGTCAACACGATGGCAAAGTCTGGAATGCCAAGCTTGCCAAAACATGCCCTTGCCACATGACTAGCTCAGGCTCTCATTGGACAACTTAAAAATGTCACATATGACTCCAATACTGATTGGTCATTTAGAATCTAGGCAGACGAGCACTCAGCAGAAGTTTATGGCTTCCACAACTTGGGTAAGATGTGAACAACAACTAGGAATTAAGTGTCCCAACATCCTACCAATCTCCTGTCAAATTTACTGGGAGTGTACACACTTGTGTACTAGTCAGAGAGGCAATGGATACAAAGAACATCCTGTGATCTCCTAGGAAAGCAAGATCATTAAAGATAAACTGAAGAAAGAGCAGGCTGTTTGACAAAAGGAATAGGCAATAGATCAAAGGTTTACCACTGGAACACTGCTTACCAGTAGAAAAGTCAAAAGCTCTGGAAAGAACAATTTAAGTATGCAAAAGGAAAACATACACATAAAAAATAACATTTAAAATTATAACCCAATACCTCTTTTGGGATGGGGTTACAAATGTATATGTAGAAACTTTATCCTTTAGATTTTTAACAGATGATTTAAGAAATGGTGTATTTAAAATGTGATCTAAACTACATCATTTTTACAATTTTTAACTTCACTTCATACACCACCACTCTGAGTCAATTTAGCTTTGTCATTAAAAAAAAATTCTATATTCAAAAGCAGATAGTTTTAAACACTTCTTAGCCATGTTTTATCATCTGATAACAAACCCTATGTGAGTGCTCAAGTTGTCCGAGGTACACTGTATTTGTGAATAAGTGCTAGTAAGTAAAATAACCTTGAAGAAATTATTTTATGCGTCGTGTCCAGCTGAGTAGGAGCTAAAGTAGATCCCAACACAACTACAGTAGAGTAGTCTTTACCTCATCAGGTCGATACAAGTAGTGCATCCATCATAATTGAAGCGGCAATAAAGTTTCCACGCTTCCATTCATGACAACCTTCATTAGATTTTGAGTACTGCTGCGATATTGGAATCAGAAAAGGGAAACAAACAAAAACTCCCCATCTGTTATCTCTCACCAGTTTCTCAGCATCTTGCTCTGCTGTAGTATGAGTAACTTTCGTAGCATGATGGGGATGACCTCTGACCTCTGGTGCACTTGGGGGTGACCCTGTGCTGGTGCTGCTGACTGACTTGGCTTTCTGTAGAGGGTGCTTGCTCGCTGAAGACCTAACAGCATAAAAACAAGTGGTAATAAATTTAACTGAACAAAAGCAGTTGTGACATATTGCTGCAGACCTGACATTATAAGAAATAAAAGTCCAAGACTAATCTTTGTGTTTTTTTACCTTTGCAAAGTATCTTGGCAAAGTTAAGGACCAAACAATGGGCAAAATGAACAACACAACAGTTTTTTTCCTTCAAAAACTAGGAAATTCAACCATATTGATGTTAATCAATAATTATATGAATCATACTGATAATTATACAACAATTTTTTACACTTAGCAGAAACAATTACGATTGAGAAAGGTTTTTCTATTAAAGTAGCCTGAATGAATGCTTAACAGACTTTTTAATAACTACTTTGTCCAGCAATGCCTAGTGAAACAGGGAAACAGTTTTTATACATGAATCCAAGGCAACGGCAGTTGCATTGTGCCAAGTTTCGCAAGTAACTGGCAGCTGACGAGTTTTTTCATAGAACAAAATGCTTCCATAAGTACTGAAGAGGCTGACTGGACAGTGATTGGATTTATTCCCGGATCCATTTCAAATATAGATACCTTTCATGCTACCAACCTTCTTGTTCCCAGATTCATTTCAAATATAGATACCTTTCATGCTACCAACCTTGCTTGTTGCCGACTTTCCTGCCTTTGTTGCCTTCCATCCATTATATGTGCCAGCCCAATGTTGGATGGCATAGATCCCTTTGCTCTCTGCTTGATGACTGCTCCCACAGATGGCCTATCACTTTCCACATCACTTTCATCAGTCTGATCTGTGTCTACATTTAGTAATACTCATTACCACAATACATTGTATGTATCAAGGCCAAAATTCATAAACCTTGTGTTCATACAGGCTGGGTAAATGTTTGACCAGTTTGCAATTAATGCCTAAAAGTGTGACAAAAATTTTTCTGAGTCGACGACAATATGATAAAAGGCCTGTCCACCCTGGACGTGTGGGTTGGAGCTGGGTGTGGGTACCAGAACATGTAGGTGTGTTCACTGGGTATTACCCCTCTTAGGCTTTTGGTAGGGTGTGGCAGATGGTGTGTGGTGATACCCCTCTTAGGCTTTTGGGTGGGTGTGGCTGATGGTGGGTAGTGACACGCCTCTTTGGCTTTTGGTAGGGTGTGGCAGATGGTGTGTGGGAGACACCTCTCTTAGGCTTTTGGGTGGGTGTGGCTGATGGTGTGTAGTGACACGCCTCTTTAGCTTTTGGTAGGGTGTGGCAGATGGTGTGTGGGAGACACCTCTCTTAGGCTTTTGGATGGGTGTGGCTGATGGTGTGTGGGTGATACCCCTCTTTGGCTTTTGGGTGGGTGGTGGTGGATAGTTAAGGTACATGTACCATGGCCAGTAGGTGTGATTATCAAGTACAGTAAATTACGGCTAAGTTGGCACTCTCAGGGCTCAAGAAATTAATGCCAACTTGTGCTGTAAGTCGTCGTTTTGCTGACTTACACGTACACATGTATTGCCTACGTACATTATAATTCCTTGCACTAATTCAATAGCTTTGATTTATCCTGGTTTATTTCTACCTCAATGGTCAATCCCAGCAAATTTGTTCTCGATTATTATCCTCACAGGCTGCAAATTTGATAATTGATCATGTGCCCCGAAGGATGAAGCAAAGACGGCAAGCCACTTCCATATCACATCACGACTCGACAGTGCAGTACGTACATGTACATGATACAGTTACGGTACAGAAAACATACACTCATCCGCGCCCGCACATGCATGCATTGGTTAAGTTCGTTCAATAAGGTGACCCCCAAAATCGACAGAGTGCATGCGTGTAGCACTAGAAAAGTTACTGGTATTGATGTGCTCATGATGGCCGATTATCAACGACGGCCTGTGCTGCTTATAAACAGACATTAGTCAAGCAGTGTGGGACTTGTCACTTCTTGGGAACCGCGACGAAAAAACTGATACTGAAGCGTGATTTTTTTAATGCCGACTTACACAAAGGAATTTTTGTGGTTTTGTGGAAAAGGGACCAAGAAAAACATGCCAACTTATACAAAATGACGACTTATAAATGCCGACTTTGAAATGAAATTTTCAAAGCAAATGCATTAAAGACGATCGGGACTTTTGTCAAAAGGCCGACTTAGATGATATAACGAGTTACGCGATGCCGCCTTAGTCTGATATGACGAGTTGTGAAATGCCGACTGAGTCGGAGTTGTGAAATGCCGACTGAGTCGGAGTTTACTGTAATACCTCTCTTAGGCTTTCTATTTGACTGCTGTCTGTTGGTCATCTCATCTCCATCGCTCCATCTGTGTGGATGAGCAAGAACACTGTGATCCTCAGCATTCCTCAGCTCTTGCCTTCTTGTCATGATATCTGCCAGTTGTTTCTCTAATTGCTCCAGCCTCACTTCATGATCTGTGGGTTGCACCTGTCACCAATTACAGAAAAGCTTTTCATGATAGGAAGAGTTTTGATAGACTGATGGTACAGTTGGTCTAAGTTTTGAATGGGTTAGTGAATTACCCATGAATTTATTAGCAATAACCAGGAATCTTAATGGGAAGACAGTGCCCTTAAATGTGAACAATGTTATCAATGGATGTATATAAACTGTATAGGAATGAGTAATAATATGTATTGAATTCATCTTGACAATCCTTCCTATACTTGGATTTGCTACAAATGTGATGTCCCCAATTCTGCAAGCTAATCATTTTTTCCATATCAGATTTGAAGACTTCCAATTCTTTTGATGCTTTATCTTTTTAGCTAATTACTGCCAAATTTACTGCATTTATACGGAGAAGTCAAATTATGTTCACATTCACTTAACGAGCTAAGTGTACCAGATTTTATTTACATTTAACTTATAAAAGGATCCCTTCAAACTGAGCAAATATTACAACCACTTAAAGGAAACAAAGTCATGATATACCACAATGATGTCATGAGGTGTTTTTAAATTACAAGCACTTAAGTTTCATAAATTTAATCTCTAAAATCACTCATAACTTCCCACAACTTGCTCATTGCAACAAGCAAAAGAGTAATTCAGGTTTTTCATTTTTTTTATGTGTACTTAAATAATTTAGCCTTTGCTTTCAGTCGAAGTGGAAAGTGCCTTATTATTTAAGTCAGAAACAAATATGAACCTGCTTTCAACAGCATTAGTTTCCGGCAAGATACTAATCTTCAAAACTTGAACCCGACGTCGGCATGTTGAAAATGTAAAAAATGCATTTTCAACTGATGTCTGTATCAAAGTTTACTGTAAATGCTAGAAAATTGGTAGATGTAATGACCTTCACGCAAACAACACACATGTGGAATTTGAAGTCGATGAAATCGTCTGACAGAAATTAAAATGAAAAGACCATTAAGTTTTCAAAAATTAATTGCTAGTCAAATCAATCCTGTGAGATACAGTATTACATTGAACTGTCCATTATTTAATGTTAATTGGAATTGTGACCTCTGATAGACTCAACTACAGTTGTGCTATTTAAATCAGGTCCAACCAGCCATTTTGCAAGTTTAACTCTCCACTGCACAGATAAATTAAAGGTTAAAGTTTTAGAAACACTATAAAATTTTGGGTATCATGCCAATGTGTATTTAATTTGAGAAATCTGGAGCCTGAGCTTGTGTATAAAGGACATGTACCTTTATACTGTGTTGTTACAGTGTGTAGCAACACACTTCAGGTCCAGGCATGTCAAAACCTTGATTGAAATTCTTACATGTGTCTGGTTATGAGCCTCGTTTGTTACTGTAACATTAAAGCCAGGTCTTACGTCTGTACCACTTATGGTGGTTGTCCCTGATGACATCAATGCTCGCTGGCGGAACCTGTCCAGCATCTGATCAATTCTGGGAGTCGTTATATTCACAGCAGGCTCCTGTAAATGTTAAATGGATCAAGATACGTGATGTGTATACATAGGGGTGGTGATTTTTCAACCTTTTAGATAACACTGACAGTGTTGAATCAATGGGCATGATAAAAAGTGTCAGTAAGTATATTTATACGCAAAAAATGAATTTTAGTTCTGATAAAGGGTACATGTACAAGCTACCACAAGTCGAGTTAGAGTACATGTACAAAGATTTGGAAGGAAAATGTTCATCTAAGTGATGGAAAAAGGCTCAAAACACCAGCAACCCCTTTTTATATTTACTTTCATAATGTACATGTACCATTAAGCATACTTTGTAGAAACACGCTTCTGTTTGATTGTGATTTGTAGAAATGGTATTTATTGCTTGGGTGTTGAGTGTACATTTTACATTCAGATGTACGCTATATGTGTATGTCTGAAATTGCATGACAAAGTTGAAAATTAACAACTTAAGAACTCTTTTGACAAATGTTGCCCCTCCTTTCAATCTTCAAACAAAATTTTATGGATACTTCTGTAATTCTGTGGGAGTTATTTTTATACCTGAGCACTGGCACAGGTGGAGTCTGAGCTGAGCAGATACTCCAAATACTGGTCCAGTCCTGTAGTGATCAAGCAATTAAGAATTCTGGTAAATATTCACAAACAAAATATTATTGCTGTATTACAAGAAAGTTAACACTGGAACTTTAATATGTGATCACATACACGTACACTTAGACTTTTACAATTGAATAGTCTAAAAATCTCAAAAGTCAGCCTGACTACAAGGGCAACTTTGTTACAACTAAATAGTCTAAAAATGTCCATCTCAAAAGTCAGCCTGACTACATGGGCAAGTCTGTTACAACTAAATAGTTAAAAATGTCCATCTCAAAAGTCAGCCTGACTCCATGGGTGACTCTATTATGTGTTCCAACCAAAGAAAAACTTTTGCAACTGTCTACAAATACAAGAGAATAATTACTGATGAGTTCATTCTTACTGGTTTTGGTATTGACCATGGCAGCAACCACAGATGCAAGAATGTAACAACCTACATGTAACTTGTGAGGCACTCTTCTGTATAGGATGTGTAGTGAATCACCTCCCTCATCTAACACATGATAAATTTAGTTTTGCTTCTTTGCTAGAGGTTTTGAAATAACTGATTCCATAGTTTAATATATTTTTGGCTTCCAAGCATAATAACATGTATCTTACGTCTATAGGAAATGGGAAAAGAAAATGTGAAATGGTGTGATAGGATCTTCTAATGTATACGTGTGCAGCCTGTTACCCGGTATGTCTGCCATTATGTTGTCTATGGGGACATGGTGTCCTCGTCTATTCATACCATCCAATATTTGAATCTGTGGAAGGGAGTGAAGCATGGCTGTACGATACCCTTTAGAAAAGACAAATGATACTTTAAATAATAATTTAACAATGGAATATCACTACAAGTACATGTAAAAAAGTTTGTTGGGAAGTTTTGGAATAATGAGAATTCTTAAAAGCATCTTTAGTACGTGTATGGGGTGAATTGATGATCATCTTGTCAGTAATGTGGGATCTCTCAATCCATTACTCCAGAGTTTAAACACACAGAATGTCCCAAACATGTTATTCTAAGGTCTGTGTGCATGTGCAATATGTTTTTACCTGGCTGACGACACACAGGATTATCATCAGTGTCTAGTGCTAATATAAGTTCTTGTAGTTGCTGTAGTCCACTCACACACTCAACAACATGATTAAATGAATCAAGTTGGTTCCCATGTAACTGTAGGTGCGCTAGACTTGACTGGGGACCATGAAGAGTTACCAAACCACTGATATCTTTAATGATGTTGTAGGACAGGTTAAGTTTTCTCAGAGATCTGCAATGAATGAAATAATTCAGGCAAGTAAAAACTGACTGTTGACAACAGAAAGTCACAAGATCATTGAAACCTGTTATAACGGGGTAAGTTTCAGGTGTGTCAGACTCGACAAAAGGCTGTTGAGATCCAGCGGACCCACGGAGTTCAGTATGATTATGTACCCTAGGATAGAACTGACACCTACATGTACAGTTGAACAATGAATAAAATCATTAAACTCTGACCACTGACATGACTGAGACAATGCTCCTTTTGGATGAAATGAAAAATGTCTAAGAGAAAACCAAAGAGACTGCAATGCCAGTACATGTACATAATAGTACATACCCTGTACTATTGATGTACTGGTACAAGTACATCATGTGTATTGGAAATGGTTCTTAACATAGATGTACATTGTACAGTATGGGTTTTGTACATGTATGTCCATCCCCCGTCTCATTCTGTCAAAGATCAAAATTGAAAGTTGTATCAATCTAATATTTCAAGGTTTGTGTGTCTGGAATACATGTACATGTATGTACCATACATGTATACTGGACGGGTGAATTCCACATTTTTTCATCTGGCTTATTGAAACAGGTTGTCATGACGTTGCAACTACAATATGTACGTGTACATGTACAGTATGTTGAATTTTCTACAAGCCAATCCAAGATGGGCAACAGTTCCCTATATGTACATGTAATGCACTTAATTTATAAGCATGATAAGGCATCTTGTAATTTGCATGATGGATTGCCATCCTATGTTGAATGGACTGGTAGCTTATTACATGTACATGTACTTACAGGTACAATGTACATGTACATGTATGCTACAACAATTGATGCATAATAAACTCCACAGAGCTGAACGCCTGCTTCAACGCCTGCTTGAACCTGGATACAGATTCCATAAATAATTTATGTTTTTTGAATGATTAAGGTTTGGCAAGATTTAGAGTTTTTATCCAAGAATAAAAGTGTGGAATTAAAAAACTGATACCAGAGGCTTATTCCATGAATCTACAGAACACACACAACTACATGTAGCCAAAAGGTAATTTAATTGTCACTTCTCACTGGCTCTTGGTTGATTTTTGGTGAGTAAACATAGTAAAAGAAATTGTTGACCAATATTCTCAGCTCAACAGCTTCAAGAAACTTGTCCTGAGTTAATTTGATTTACTTCACACATATTTTACCTTAAACTGTGTAGGCCAACAACAACCTTGATGTGGTTACAAGACAAATTCAATGTCCGAAGAACGGTCAGGGACTCCAAGCCTTCAATGCATGCAATCTGATTGGAGGAGAGATCTAAGTGTTGAAGCCACCTAAGTCTGCTTAGTCCATTAATGATGCTGATCTGATTGCAATGGAGGTTAAGTGTACGGAGATTGGTTGAGAAATGCAGACTTGTTAAGCAGTTGATTCCAGCATCAATCAGGCACAATTCTTCACCATCACTAGCTCCAGAATTCATGCTTTGTTCTGCAGTCTTGGCAGTCAATTGAACTCGAAAATTTTGGGCAGGATATCGCCTCTGGAAAAAAGATATTGAAGAAAAGGTTGGCCTTAAATGTGAACAAAACAGGTACAGGTAATGTACTTCAATGCATCCTTCAATGCAAAAATGGATGCAATTTGATGTTTGTCCAACAATCCATGTGATTGAATCAGACGTCAATAAAAAAATCTTCTGTAAATACCGGTATACATGTACATGAATGTATAAGAAAACTCCTACTGCACAGCGCCATGCCTGAGATTACTGCATAGCAGGCAACGCAGTTCCACTGCACCACAAAACTCCCAACTACAGTGTAATGTTGAACAAACCATGGAGCTTTTTATAGCTCCATGAACAAACTGAACCTGAAACCAAAAGTGACATGACCTGAAACTTCCTAGGGGTAACTCTGGGTCAGATACATGTACATGTACCTGTACGTTTTTCCACCATTTTAGTTGGGTTGGTTTCATATTCGAGGTTTTCGGGTTAAGTGAGTTCAGCTAAGCCATCTTGGTCCATAAAAACCTAAAATAAATGGAATACACGTCCAAAGCAAACAGTGCAGCCATTAACATGGTGTGTTTTTACTGCAGAGCCTAGTGCTTGGTATGACCAATGTAAATTTGTACATGTAAATGTACCACATGTAGATGATTTTTTCCCCAACAGTACATACCGAGACTGTAATAAAGACACCTACATGTACATGTAGTAACAGTTTTGAGTTCTTGCCATGATATTTCCAAAAGAATTTATGCAACATGGATAAGTTCACGTGCAAACTATGACAAACTAAAGGATGAATTGCTCAAGCTACACATACAGGTACAAGTAGACAAATGTTCTTTTTTTGGGTTGGCTAGGTTATGGTTTGGTTCAGGTACATGTAAGTTTTATCTTAATTTTTGTCGGGTCAGGTTGGAATTAAGGAGATTGCATTTGTTTTCAGGCAGACTCATAGATAGAAACTAGAGTGCTAACTTCTCATTCTCTGCACTGAGAAAAATTGATGCTGTCCTGGGCGCAGACATTTTGAATCTACGGGCATGCTTGTAGAATATTCAAAATCAGACAGACTGAACATCAAATAATGTATTCTAAATCGAATGTGCAAGTACAACATATGTGAATGTCAGCGCATCTTTTGAATAAGATGCACACGTACACGTACAACGCAATAGCAAGTGTTAATAAGCCTTTTGCGAATTCAGTTTGACTCAAATCTGGTACACTGAGTTCTTTAAATTCACATGAACATAACAACTTGAATTCTCCTTACTAAAACCACTGTTGCTGTACCTTGTGATTCGGGGCAAGCTTCTGCTTAGTTACATAAGACACGCCTTGCAACAATACACTGCTCTCAATGGATAAGAACGGCACAGAGGAACCAGTCCATTCCAGAGATGGTGGTTGCTATTCGAAAGCTTGCCCTGAATCACGAGGTATACCAACAGTGTCTTTAGTCTGGGGAATTCAAATTGTTATGTTTATGTGCAGTCAGATAACTCAATGCACCAGATTTTATTAAAATGTACACTGTAACTCGCAAATGGCTTATTACATCCATAGCTGATTATTTTACAATGACTGTTTCCCTAACATTCAATTAAGGTTGTCCCATTTCTCATGTATGTCCCTTGTCTTTTGATACATATGTAAATTAAAAAGATACAGCTAAATTAAAAAGTCGTTCCATTGATTCCGTCAGTGTCAGGTGAGTTGACGGCTCTGGAGCAGGGGCTATGACGTACATTGGGTATCAACATACGGTACATGTATAGCTACATGAACATGTATAGCTCTATGGGTACTGATGAAATCCAGTTAAAAAAATGCACAGAAAAATTCATGTGTAGCGTTTGCAATTTTGTTTTTTGGGGGGTAGAGAAAAATGAAATGCTCATTTACTGATTGTGTGTTCAGGTTGTTTGCGAAACAGCTTTGTTGACGTCAATACTGTATGTGTGCATGTACCGGTACATGTATCGTTCTAGAATACAGACACAGATATATATACATGTGTATGTAAATTTAGCCATACAAAACTGTACAATATTTCTGGTTTTCCACAGGTTTGTGCACAAACATGGATGCGCCCAGCAGGCATCACTTTGTACATGAGTCAGTGCTCTAGTTTTACTGTAAGCTCTATCATGTCTATGGTCAGATTTAATTTATAACTACTTTGTATTATGTTTCGTGTCTGATTGGTCTGTTTAACCTGACTCAGTGCACATTACTGCCAATTTAACAAGAACTGCTAAAGCACATCTATCCACTCCCTTATATACAGTAAACATACACACTTGTAACACCCACATTATCAAGATGTTCACAGCCCATACTGGCTACTACCTGCATGATTTAGTTGTCAAGCTTACGGTACCTCGAGTACTAATATTAAAGTATTTTGTGAAGACTTAATTAGACAACAGGTACCTTGTTCAATGAGCATGCTATTCAGCAAGTACGGTACCTTGTTCAGTGAGCATGCTATTCAGCAAGTACATGTACATGTACAGTATCTCATTCAGTGAGCATGCTACACGTACTCAGCAAGTACACTAATAATACCTTGTTCAATGAGCATGCTACTCGGCAAGTACAAGTACCTTATTCAATGAGCATGCTACATGTACTCACCAAGCATGCAGCCCCAGAGATTTGTTTTTTAATTTTAAGTAGATTCATATTCAAGGGGGTGGGGAGTTTTAACAGGGGATATTAAGTTCAAGATCTATTATGTTATTACTAGTCTGGTTTCTGTCATTAATGCTCAAGTTCAGTGTGACAGGCAAAATGGACAGCAGCTGCAGCTAGTCTAAACATGCTAAACTGCTGAAGCTACAGTATATGTACATGTACATGACGTCTACTTGTTTGTATGGGTCACACCAGCACAGTACACAAAGTGGTACACAGACTATAAAAGTATAAACAGTATAGCCATGGCATTTCTTCTTCAACCCTTATACTTAAAGAATTGCATTTCTTCTTCAACGGAACTTTAAAACTGCTCCTTGTATGAATTCCATCAATCAGATACATGTACAGTACATGTACATCAGATGCATTTTCAAAGACAACGTAGCGCTAAGCAACTAGCAGATGAAGAAATTGGTAACATTTCAAAGTAAAGGTAGGGCCTACCCTAAAACACACACTGCTCCTATCCAGTTCCCGCTCTGACAAAGAGCAAACAAACATAATACTACTAGTAGGACCAATTCACAGTCTAACTTTTGGCATCCACCTTATTACTAGTATATTATTACGGTACATGTAATGTACACTGTATTTGTACGTACCCTGCATGCATTTTTCATTTTAGAGGCAAGCTCAACCATGCATGCCAAAACTTTAAGAAGACAGAAGACATAGGCCTAGGCCAGTCCTAGACGACAAACTTGCAAATTGGGCGTTGAATTCGGTATTTGGCTGGCCTACGCCTACCGTATAATCGAAAATCATTCATGTACATGTACTGTAAAGTGTAAGCCAACCGGTATTTCGTTCGAACACGTAGCGCGCTTATATATTATCAGGTTAATCAAGAGAGGGCCCACTTTCTCTGTGCGGCCTCGATAAAAAAGTACTATGGGGCGCGCGCTCTGCACAATTCAAGGGAAAATTCTTCCCGAGGCCAAGGCGTTCAAAAATACCCTAACAGTGTATTTTAAAAAAGAGGAGATTATATGGCCCAAGAAATTGTGGGCTTGTGTAAGAATAGCCAAGAAAAGGACTCCCATCCCAGGGCAAAGCAGAGTAATGCTATTGAAAAACTGTCCCAAGAGCCTGAAAAGGGGAGGGATGGTTAGTCATTTGAAAAATGGCTACTGACAGACATGGGAAGGTTTATTTTTGGTGGAGGAGCTTGTTTTGGTGGATGATTAAAAATTTCATTGTGCTTAACCTACTAAAAATTGAAATTCGATTGAAACCTCAATGACCCCAAAACACATAGTTTTTGTTTGAGAGGCCTGAGGGACTTCAGTTGCCTGCACCGGGGCTGCGAACGTGGTTGATTTACATTGTTCTCAATTGGGTTTAGTTCAGTGCACCAATATGGGTGCATCGACGTAAATAGGCGGGAAAAAGTTACAGACTCTAAATATTCTATATTAGAGAGTCATGGAATTGGAGAATTGAAGAAATATGACACTGGACCTCAGGCCCGCCGGACTCAGGGCTTCCAATTCTGAGCAATTTGGACGCAATCGGGTCCGAAAGTGGCACCGACTCTGTTAGCCGGCGTTTTGCCGCTACATTTTCAAAATGGCTACTTTCCGGGCAGAGAAATTTCCTTCATTTTAGGGGTGATCTGCGAAAATGGAAGAGGACACGGCAAACATGAAACTTGTCATAATACATGTCACCCCTGCGTCAAGTCCTTGTTGTTTAAGGCGATCATGATACACATCAACACACATCACCAAATATGGTCATAACTTTTTTCCAATGGGCCAACTTGGCAAAGATTTTTTTTTTGGGTAATCCTCACCCCAACCACTGCCAAGTTGAAATTCTTGAAAAATCAGTCACCCCGAGGAGCTCATGGTCGATATCAGGAACTGGATTTCTTTGTTGACAGACACGTGCTGACGGACGGCTGTTTGGGTTGTGACCTAGCATTACTTATTTTTCCACAGCAGAATAATGGAATGTAGTTAGAGGGGACCTCGGGGATGTATTAGCTACCATAAAACAGTCGTTTAGGCTCAGGCATGACGGGGAACTGACCTGGTGACCACAATCACCGCATGGAGGAAGGGTGTGTTTTAAGGGGCGGAGGGTTTTAAGGCCCTTTAACAGGCAGTGTTGACAAATCACCATATCTACAAAAAATTATTATCCTACATGTTCTTTCTTAAAAGGGGAAATGACCAAGTTGAGGGAGGAAAAGTAGCACTGTGGTCCTGCTCAAAAATGCTCTGAACGATAGTTACCACTTATTAGGTACTTTAAGCACTACTTTGAGTGTCTGTGTGACTGAGTGTGATATCCTCTAGAACAAAATTTACTTAGCTAAAACGTGTGGGGGTTGGCTTCAATTTGGAATGCATGTTTGACTTCGACAAAGGTTTCCACACTAGCAAGTAGGCTATAAAATAGCTGTGGACGTTGCTTATAGGCCAACTCATAACTATATGTATCGTCTGTTGAATTAACCTTACCATCTTATTTCCCCGGTACAGAGGCAACGATTTGACACGGGAGGAAGTCTGGGCATGGTTGGAAGACGGCAGCCAACTGGACTATTTCAACTGGGCGCCTGGCCAGCCAGATAATCACAGAAATGAGGATGTGTTGGAGGTATACAGTTACAATCGCCAGTAGAATGACAACAAAATCATCGATGCTAATGACCGATTGTGCTTCATCTGGGAAAAGAGACCATTGGGGAGCGGATGCCCTTAAGCTGAGAGTTGGTCAATTCCTGTGCACGCGGGTTATAAGTGAAAAAATCCCCGCTGCATTCGTCAGTTTTATCTGACATTATTTCAATGAATAATGACCATTATATCCAAAACAAACCTTGAGGAATAAAACGGCGCTAGGACTTTTAAAAACTATTTACATTGTCTCCTAAGGTTCTAAAAGAGAAATGAACATCTTAGTAAAATGATGAATAGGAATTTGGACATTTTTTCGCAACTTCTCTATGAAAGCAAAACAAAAAAGCCCAGACGAAGTGTTTATTTCGAATTTAATTTGAATGCAGTATATCGGAAGGAAATCACGCACTGCTTGTTACACGTCGAAGTCACTATTTGTCAGTGCCCCTTGTTAGAGCATAGGCCTATTTGGTTCTATCTTATTGTGTCAATTTGAAACTATTATAAATATCGAATAAAATAAAATAAACAGTGTTCCTATTAGACGGCATCCAAAGTTTCATCGAAGGCCTTGCCTCTGTCTGTTTTTTCCTGGTTGAAAAGGCCTAAATCATAATGACGTGATCTTTGCTCACGTACGCTTTCCTATGGGGGCTCTATGGATCGCGTCTCACCTTACTCATAAGAAAGAGCGTACATAAATAAAGCATGGAGTCATACATAACATGGCCATGTCCCTTGAGCTGTCATTCTCTCTGATGGTTTTTGTTTCCCTTGGCCCCAGGTATTACTCTCCGCTTTTTGTATCACATACTACTGCCATAAATTTTCGTCGAGCAGAGTGTTCAAATAAATGTATTAAATATTAATAATTAATACATCAAGACACAGGGCATTAATTTTCTTAAAACAGAAAGATACTGAGTACCCAGTTACCCAATTAAAGATTTTGGCACACGAGCTATATGTTTTCTTGTTAAATAATTTAGCTTGGGTGGCAATATTTGGGCAACGATTGTGTCTCCGTTAACACATTATCATCAAGGGTGTGTAAATATTAACCCAAGACTCAGAAAGATGGTGTACTAAGCCCTAATAAGGTTAGGTCTTCGCTTCTTTGGTGGTAGGGAAACAGCTGTGTATTAGTACATCCAGTTCTTGCAATTAAGGTCTGTATGAAGCCATGGGAGGGATTGGATATGTCTAGATTGCTTTTCGTCCACACGAATCACTTTGGCCTTCGCATGAATTAATTACGCCTATTGGGTCGCACGAAAGTAAAAGGTCAAGACCTAACCACCTAATGGGAATTTTTAATCAGGCCGGCCCACCACCCGAAAAAACATCCATAAAAGATTTTTGCCTTTGTGCTCTTCGTTTAATAATATAAATGAAGAGTTATCTAGATATTTTTAGTAGCGACCTTTCACTTCCGCCATTATCCTTCTCAGTCTCCTAATTCATGCATGATTACTTTCACTTCTCGTGCTTACGTAGGAACGAGAATGAATAACTTTGGAAGGAGTTGCCTAATTGCAAACGATTGTTCTTGATTCAGTCGAGCTGACCTGCGCAGTTCTTGTTAGCCAAGCTAGGTTAGATTGGACTCAAGAATTTTTTTGTAAATGCAGATTTATTTCCTCAAAAAATGTAAAATTGAGAGCATAGTTTGTTCTTTTTTATGTTAGCTTTCACGTAAAGAGTACCATAAATATAATTTCGTACTGTGTTTTCTTCTGCATACGAGAATACCGAGGTGCACTGGTTGTCACATGCTTGGCATTTCCGTAAGAGTTTGGGTGTAAGACTTTTTAAGTCTTTTATCTTAGGCAGTGTTTCTGTTTTGATATTGTAACGAAGTGATTCTTTGGCACTCCTTAGTTCTGTGTGACTTGGCGCGCGGTACGTCTTGTGGTGCATGCTATTTTTAGAAACTCGTATATGAAATAGGCGCGTCGCGTTGCCGTTGCAGAGCTAGAACACGTGGAGACGCCAACCCGAGACTAGGCGGAGTACCCTTTAGTAAACTTCAGTTGGGGCAGGCTGAGGCCACAGATGTGTGAGTGCCTAGCTCGTGTTTTAAATGGCTATGGTTACTAAGCGCTGGTTACTTTTGTTCAGTTTTGGTATTACCGCAAATTGGAACAGATTAGATCCTCCGTTACTCTCTATTGTGATCGAGATTCGATCGACAACAATTGCAATTTGAAGGCAATTAGTGTCGGCATGTCAAGGTAGTTTGGTTGTTCATTTGGGACTTATCAAAGACTCTAAGTACAAGGATATTTGTAGAATTCCCGACTATATTTTCCTGAAGCTGCCCAATTTGTTAGTCAAGTTGTTTTTGTAGAAAATGTGATTACAGAGTAGGTTTTGTTGACATTGTGTCGTCTCAGGGATCCCCTTCCCTTAAGGCATTCCTTTTCCTTAAGGAAATCCTGCCCCCCTTTCCAACTCATTGCTCCTTAAATCCTCAGGACTGACAACTGCTTCACTGGTCTGGAGGGTCGAGCTCTGAGGATAGATATCTGCCTTCAGGAGAACCAACGAGGGTCGCCTTAGGAATCCACTTCCCTTAATTGGGTAATCCTTTTTGTTTTAGAAACTCCTTTCCCTTTGTTCTTCACCCCTAATAAATCATTAATTAAGGTCAACCGAATCTAATTAAAAAGGAATAAAGAGATTTACTCAGGAGAGGAGTTGTTGTGCCCTCGCCTGTTATTTATGTAGTAGTTGTCAGTATATGTCCGTCCGGTACGTTGTCCGTTTGGGCTAGGGTTAGTATGGGGTGTCCCCGTTTGGTGACCCTAAATAACTTTTGACTCCCGTAATCTTTGACATTGAAACTTTCAGGAAAAGAAGTGCAACTCTTAATCTACTTGTTGTCTATGTTTGAAGGTCATAGATTAAGGGGTAACGGAGTTATGGCATTTTCTCCGAGGGCACTAGTTTTTTTTGAGACCCCAAAATTGGTGTGAAGAAAACGATTAAAAATCACTGAAGATAATTTGCGATCCAGGTTTAGATATATTTTGCATCCGAATCAGGCCATGTGCTATCTTTTGAAAACTGACCGAAAGTGACGTCATAACTTTGGTGTTGTACGAGATACGAGGTTGGAGCCTGGGAGAATGTTGTTCCCCTTGAGGTACTCTTTCGATTGGTGTGCATTTAAATCCCGTGAG